TTTGCTTTTGTTAATTGTATAATAAATAAAAAGAAAACAAATAGATAGAATACAAAAAGTTTAGAAAAGCTATTTTTAGAAAACAAGCAGTAAATGAATAAAGTGCGAGTCTAAAAGGGACAAGTTTAAAAAAAAAAATAGAATTAGAATAGAGAGTGCTAGAGTTAGAGGGTCAAATAAAGATGGAGGAGATGTGTTTTTAGTCATTTCTTGAAGATGGCTAAGGACTTGTGATAACACTCATGGAAAGAATATGTGAATGAAGATGTGAACTCTTGAGAAACTAACACCAAGCATAATTAAGCACTGAGTAATGAATCATACTAAATAATTCCTTTTGTGTTCTGTCATAGTCTTGATTATTCATAAAATGTGGAATTTTTGTTATTTTTGTTATTTTTTTAAATAATAATGAGTAGATGTGTGTAATGAAAACAAAGATGTTTCATATTATACTTAGTTTAATTTAATTATACGGAATACCACAAGAACACATAATAAAAATAAAACAGAAATGCTGTCAAAATATCTCCTATCAAATTTTCTCTTTTTTAAAAAAACAAGCTTGAAAGTGGTCCATTCAGAATTTCCATTTTTAGGTGAACTTTAATATTTATCAAGTCGAATTTCGCTTGACAAAATGCATTCATTCAGAACATCCTGCAACATCATCACAGACAAGGCTTGAGTCACACATATTAGAGGAGTTTAGGTTTAATACCATAATACACTTCTATAAATAAATACAGATTCAGTGGTTTTTAAGATCAGATTTGTTTTATCTTAACCATCATCATGATGTTTGCATTGTAACTATGTGACCGAAACGTTTGCCTTGTTTCTTTTATCTTGCATGTGATTTTTGGTGGAGTGTGCAGACTTTTTTCAAGTATTTTGCATTGTAACTATCACATCTAACATACTTGTCTCACATACTATTTTCATTTATGAAAAATTAATGCAAACCAAAACCTGGGATGAATTAATAATAATGCTGCAGCTGTAACTCCTGTTTAACACCTTTGTTTTATTCAAACTTATTTTAAGTACTGGAATGTTTCACAGTGACTGGTGATGTGTAACTGAATAATGTACAAATAATAAATGAAGACTGAAATCTCAATTATAAATTGGAAAACTCTGTGACGTTCACTCACAAGGCATTTCTGGTTGAATGAAACGCACTTCTGGAGTCCCATTTTGCACATTATGTATTATGGACATGAAATGGGAGTCTGACAAAAGGAGACATTCAAAATGTGCAGTTGAGGGTTGAGAAACACTGTTTTAAATGTTAATCAATTATTACAAAAGTTTTGTATTGTTGAAATTGTGTCAGAAAGGTGTATGATATGTTCCTATGGCAGTATGAACTGTGAAATCCTCTTCTCACAGATCCATTGAAATTGTTCAATACATGCAACATCAAGCCACCCTACTAAATTAGGCCACTCTGGCAGTTTAGGCACAGCTACAGTCACAACACAGTCCTCGTTTACAATGCCGTTTCCTCCATTTGGCTCTTTTATTTGTCCATGGGACGCCCAGAAGCTGAAACTACAGATCAGCATTAGATGTTCAGTGCTGATTTCTGTGTGATATGATACTGACTGTGAGAATAATTTATTAGATTATAATTAGTTTAATTCAGTGATTTCTCACCTGTTCAGTGTGCTGCCATCAACCCATTTCCATGTGCCCTCCACATCAATGTCAGTCAGACCAATATAAAATACAGCATTACCAGACGTGTTGTGAACAAAATCCTGAGCAGATAAAAAGGTTGCACATTTATATCATAAATAGATACATTTTATCTGACCATCTCACATTTAGCTGCTACACACTGTAAACACACAATCTCTCACTCACTTGTTCCTCTCTGTTGTTTATGCTGATCAGATCTGCTCCTCTCTCTGTACAGTATCTTCTGCTCTCAGCCCAGTTTTTCTTCTCTTTGGACATGTAGTAAAAACTGGATTGATAGTAAATCCATCCAACTGTTAACACAACCAGTTCAGCTGTTAGCTTGTTATCCCCATTCACACTCATCTGTCTGTAACTTCTAACAGAAAGTATATTCATACACTGTGTACACTAAAAGTTACTGCGACCACAACGCAACTCCATCATAATTTAAAAATGTCTAATGTATAGCAAATAAATACATAGACTAAAGAAACTTTACCACAAATCTGAAGTTCATTTCTTAGCTGTTCTCTCTCATTGGTCAGGTTTGTGATCTTGAGTATTAGCTGTTCTCTCTCATTGGTCAGGTTTGTGTTCTTGAGTATTAGCTGCTCTCTCTCATTGCTCAGATTTGTGTTCTTGAGTATTAGCTGCTCTCTCTCATTGGTCAGGTTTTCATTCTTGGATATTAGCTGCTCTCTCTCATTGCTCAGATTTGTGTTCTTGAGTATTAGCTGCTCTCTCTCATTGGTCAGGTTTGTGTTCTTGAATATTAGCTGCTCTCTCTCATTGGTCAGGTTTTCATTCTTGGATATGAACTGTTGTCTCTCTTGAGTGAGTGTGACACACAGCACTATGACTGCAGTCAGCAGAAGAACACACAGCAGCACCAAACACACTGCAGCTGATCTAGAGCTTCTGTTCCTCACTGAATCACTTCCTAAAAATGACAGACATTGTTATTCTATTTTCTTCTCCATTTCTCTATCCAATTTACACCAGCTTTTATGAGTAAATGTTTTTGCAATTAATCTCAGTTACCTGTGTGTTGAGGTGTTTGGGTTTTCGGTGTTTGGTTGTCAAAGTCCTCTTTGTCTTTCTTATGTTTCATATCTCTTACAGCCTCAGCACTCACATAGATATCAACCATCTTCTCTATTCTGTCTTCTGAGTCCATTATCGAACCTTTATCCATACTTTCATTCACATGCCCAGACATTTTCCATGCAGGTTTGGATGGCTACAACCTTTTAATTTTGAAGCGTAAATGTGAAATAATAAACAAAGCTATAAGTCCTACCCTACTAATACTGTCTCTTAAGGGGTATTTTGTTGTACTCCTGATGTATCTGTGTGTTTGTGGTAATGGTTCATGTATTTATGCAAAAAGGAACTTGCAATATGCAGGAAGTTAACACAAATGTCACAATCTTCTGCGATGGGATTGGTGAACGTAAATGAGGGACATTTAATGTGCAACTGTGCAACTGTGCAACAGCCTTTAATAACAAATTTATTTGCTATTAAAATTGATTTTTACATGTTTAACATTAGCATCACACTTGGAATTTAGCAAGTTCATGAGGTCTCATGAGAATCCTGAAGTATAAATTCAGAAATTATTATGTTGTGAGGTGAGATGGCATGAAAGAATAAAACACTTTTTTTTCTCTCAGGATATCTATCATTCTCATTCTATTGTCAGATAATCGAGCACAGAAGACAGATTAACTCAAATTATAATTTTGGGCAAGCAAATGCTCTTAATTTCTCTTTTATCCAATTGCTCACTGGCATGTGACTCATGGGTTCATTTAAATCAAACAGATATTGAACGCACGCAGTGTCAGACATTCTTCTATATTAGAGAATGGTTCTAACTACCGGCTGTCAAGATGCTTCATCAGGGTTGCTTTGTTCTGCGACTTCAGAAAAGCCAAACTCAGCAGGCAAGCCAGCTAAAACTAGTATGTTGCTAAACTGTCAGACAACTTTTCCCTCCTCTCTGTCGTTTACTTTCTCTTCGTCTCTCCGCGCAATTTCTCCCACCTGAGGTTTTAATTGTCAGAGCAACTGAAGTGACGTGACAGAAGTCATTTTGTGGTCCATTATGTTTTTTTGCAAAAGACAGGCCCAACAATTAGCATGTCACTGAAAAGCATTGTTCTACACTTCCCAGTCGTTAAAGATAATCTTCCTGAAAAATGCACTCTTTGCTTTGCAGTCATTGGCTTCATATGGGTTATATGTATTTTAAGGAGATACAGTGAAAAATATCATTAATCAGTATGTATGTATGCGTGTATGTATTTATTTATTTATTAGTAAAACTTTTCTGAATGTCTTTAAACAAGGTACATTTAACTAAGTTTTTGGTCTGTTTAAAGCATAAATTCTTAATGTATTATGTGTTTTTCCCCATTATTCTGCATGTACTGTATGTGTGAAAATAACATTAATAATTTGAAAATGAATCTTTTAATTTGACTTCAACACGGATAAGTTCCTCTCGCTTAATCAAAAGCTTTTTCCTACATTTATTTTAATTTTTAGGGGTGCATTCTTTTAGAAAGGTAATTTTTAAAATCAGTAATGTTTCTGTCAGGAGTGCATTTCCACTCTATAAACATTATAAACAAATTGTAATTATATTTCACAGTATTACCTTATATCTGATCAAACGTATGCAGTTTGCAGGATTTTATAAGTGTAAGGCTTGTCCTGTTAATGTTGTTTTAGGAACATACAAAGGTATCAGAAGTGCAGTTTCCTCTTTTCACTAGTACAAACCACTAACTAGAGGAAGTTGATTTTAGCACTATTAACAACATAAATAACAGACTCTGTTCTCATATAGTCTCATATTTCTGATGGGGAAAATGACATTAAGAGGTTTTCTGTGCTGCTATATTGTCACATTCCACCATACAGTACAAAAAAAGCAACAGATATGTTGATTCTAAGAGCTTATATATTCTGAATTATACATTCAGTGTCCTTTACCAGTTTTTCACTGTCAGTCAATCTTAAACGCTGTCTGCACAGAGAGGAAATTTAAAATGGCCTCTGCTTATTTTTCCAACAGTTTGATTGGCTGCTACCCTGGAGCGTGTATCAGGTCTTTGTCTGGGTTGACAAGAAGTCAGGCATGAAGGATATGACATCGTAATGAGTCACCGTTATCGCGGCCATTAGAAGGTCCGCACGCCGAAGTTTGAGTGACTGGTGTAGGAAGGCAGACGGCCTGTGTGGATCCATCAAGCGCCTGCCATTGTTCATCCACATTAGATGGGCAGCTTTCTAATGGTAATTGAGTTTGTTTCGTTTGGCAAAAGCAGGAAAAATGCCACCGGCTCCACTGATGAGGGTCCTTGATTAGGCCTCAGCTTTATTTCCCATTCTTTTTACACAACTGGAGAGACCGCTCCACATAAATGATGAGACAGGCTCTCTACAGCAGGGCCCCAAGAGGGAGGCTCGTGGTCTCAGCGTGTCCCCCGCGCACGTGTAATGTGGGAGCTTTATGCTGATGTGAAATGCCAAGGGTGCAGGCATCCATCCATCATCGTTACGGCTGTGGCTTCTGTTTGGACTCAATACAAGAGACACATTTTATTCACTATATTAATTATTTTGAACTCTCATCGCAGCTTTAGTTTACTTTCTCTCAGTGCATCTCGAGTAGTGTCGCTCAGAACAGATTCTTCAGCTCACGTTCTTCTGATAACATGGTGCTTTTTACTGAACATTAATAGATTTCATAACGCATTTCCCCAGACATTAGTTTTAAATTAATTAAATCGAAATTTCCTCTACTCTTACTTTACTCCAAAAATGCACCTATTCATACCAGCACAATCACATGACAATTCATAAATAGTTTACATTTTGGCGAATTGGTGACTAATTTCTATGAATTCATTCTCATTTGTACATTTTCATATGTTCTGCTTACACCCTAGTGAAGGTTATACCCAAAGTTGGGGTGGGCCTTAATGCCTTTTTTTTTTTTTTTTGAAAATCCAATTTCTTTGTATGATTCACATAAAAATTCATATGAAATTGCCACCTCATAAAACTATTACGTTTTTCTGTGAGATCAAGTTGTACATATAATTTAAACACTAGCAGTGGTAAAACAGCCAACAACTGTTATTCCTTCTCACACAAATTATGATTATGGGGCAGATTATTTCAATTTTTCGTATGGTTCCTTGCTAAATACTATATTACCACCTCAAAACCACTTATACCGTAGCGCATGAATTGGAAACTAATACATTTTAACGTTTACAACACATATCCAGCTCCATGTGTATTGTTTTTCTGGCATAGTAAACTTGCTCAGTATCTCACCTGGTACACTTGCAATGCAAAACACCTGTAAAACATAGTGCGAAAAAAGTGCTCAAAGCCATGTAGAAACAGCATGGCTTCTTTAGCAAATGTGCTTTTGTCTCATTTTCTCGTTAACACAGCGGTGTTTAGTGTAAAAGAGGTACATTATTTTTGAATGCAATAGAGCATTAACCTTTTAGCACCACTCAATTTCCTATCTGCTGAGATATGGTCCTGAACCAACGTAATAAAATACTGACATAGTCACATTTATCTATTTTGAAGAATTTTGAATGCACTTTTTAGTGCCACTCACTGGACATTTCACGTAAACCGTGCAAGAAGCAACATAATGTTGTTTTTGCAAAAATGTCATCACAGGTACGCATTTTTCATCAGCCTGGTTTGTAAATATCTGTCAAAAATCTGCTTCAATAAACCAGTGTTTAGAGGAGGAGCAGCAGTGAATGAAGGCATTGTGGGATACTGTGCATAATGGCAGAGGATGTGACAGAGGCCGCATCCTGCTGGAATTCGCATAAACATTCATTCTGTGAACAGTAAACTCTGAGTTTCTTAAGAGTATAAGCATTGAAGAGAGAAGATCTGATCTGGTGAAGAAAACCGGTTAAAGCTGACGTTAACTGATAAACAAAGTGTCCTTTAACGTCAGCAAAAAGGTCACTGTGTGTTCGTGCTGAAGAATATTGAGGGGCTGATTTGTAGCAGTGAACTTTTCGACACGAATTTAAATCCTTAATACTTGTCCGTAAATGTCAGATCGGTAATAATACTCAAACCAATAACATGATGATGTTGTTAATGAGTTTAAAGCAATACAATAAATGAGCTTCTTTATGAGTTGTGTTATAATGGGATGCTTAGCTTCATCTTAAAAGTGCGATAATCAAATATTATATTTCACAAAGTGCAATATATTGCAATATATTTCACAAAGGTGCAAGTTGTTCCAGTATTGTCTGTACTGGGTTACTGCCCCAGATAATTTAAACATATTGATGTTTAAGTCTTTTATTCCAATAATTCCAGTGTGGAAGCTTCACTGGACTGCTTGACTCAGTGCTGCTGTTCTAGCCAAACTTCATTAGAGGCACATAGTTGAAAGCAATCTCAGATGTCAGCGAAACAGCAGTGCCCCATAGACTACAGTAACTGAAACTGCAGGCTGAAAAGTGCAAATAAAGTGTTAGACTGAGTCTCATCTTAAAAAGTCCCCCAGTGGTGCCTGCAGACACCCACCCTTACACAAAAACACAGCACGGCAGTATTTCCAGCCCTCCTGCTGTCCTGCGCCTGTACAGTATATGACTAGAGAAAAGTTTTTGCCAGGCCTGATGCTATTTTATGCATTTCAGGAGAATAATAAAGTCATCAAACATATGAAACAGCACAAATGAAAGTGTGGGAATGTAGTAACCAAACAATGTTAAAAACAAGCAAAACGTTACTATATTTCACTTTATGAGGTGCATCCAGGGATGATTTTCAAACCGTAAAGAGCACCTGTATATGCTAGAAACAACGAAAACAGTTGGCTGCATTTTTCCTTAACATATAGACTTTTTCCTGACTATGTAGGCTTGTGTAGATTTTATTTAGTTGTTTGTTTCTAATATGTAACAGTAATATTGTGAAATATTATTACAATTTAAAATAACTGTTTTGTATTTTAATATATATATATATATTAAAATGTAATTTATTCATGTGATGGCAAAGCTGTATTTTCAACAGCCATTATTTTAATGTCACATCAGATTATCATTATTTTTGGTAAAAGTTAGGCTGTTAAATATTTGTGTATAAACTGTGATACATTTGTCCAGGATTCTTTGTGTTTCTTAAATATTGCTGTGAACATTTTATTACTGCAATTAATATCGATGACTATTGTCATTGTCATTTTTAATTATTTAAATATTTTTTCACTTGCAGAGTGTGGCCTGGTTTATCCAAATTGTTTAGAAATTTTAAGTCAAATATTAAGTTGTAAGTGCACATCAATATTTGCAATAATGGCGTATTGAGAGGATTGATCGTCACTTAAAATATATTGAAACTAAATGTTACTACTATATTACTTAGAATAAAAAA